TTTGACTGGAGGTTAAAGTATTTCAAAAACAGGAAGGAAGTAATTTGATTCTATCTACTTTTATACATATTATCTCACTTAATCCCTAACAAGGGCTCTATTGGAAGAAAGCAGTATTATATTACCATCTTATAAATGAGTAAACAGGCTCAAGAAAGTAAACCAACATGCTCATGGTCACACACTCGGTAAGCAGCAGGATATATTAAATTCTAGAGTGCTTATCTATTCTACCACACTACACTGGCATTGCCAAAACTGTTTGCTCAGTCAATGTATCAAGTTTAAATTTTTGGAAGAAATGCTCCCATAGGAAGCAATATGAGAAAGATTTAAAGGTGGTTGGAAAAGGAGATCCTAAAACATTCTTTTGGAACCGATAGCAATAAGTAACAATTCCTTTGTTGTGAGGAAATCTCCCTTTTATGCCAAAAAAAGTCATTTCCTTTTAAAAAATCATAAATGGTATTTTGGCAATAAAGTTCCATGAAGAGATTGACAAATGGCCCTTTATATTCCTGGGAATCTTATTTAAAAAGAGGATACAACTTAATATAATACATAATGCATCCGCTAAAAACACTATTCAAATTAATAAATTAATCCAGGCAAGTTGAAGGATAAAAATTCAACATACAAAAATCAATTGTATTTCTATACACTAAAAACAAACTATTCAAAAAACAAGTAAAAATTTCCCTTTTATAATAGTTACTTAAAAAAAAAAGCTAGGAATAAATTTAACCAAGGAGGTGAAATGTCTATACACTGAAAACCAAAACACCAAAGAAAGAAATTGAGCAAGAGAGAAATAAATGAAACAATATCCCATGTTTATGGATTGAAAGAATTAATATCATTAAAATGTCCATACTACCTAAAGTGATCTACAGATTCAATCTAATTTCTATCCAATGATATTTTTACAGAAATAGAAAGAAAAAGTGTTGGCAAGAATAGAGAGAAGAAGGAACACTTGTACTATTTGCTGTTTAACCCTGAATGGCCAAAGCAGTCTTAATCCAAAATCAACAATGGAGACATAACTCTATCTTCAAAATCTACTACAAACCTGTGGTAATCATGCCAGCATGGGATTTGCATAAAGACAGAACAAAGATACAGAATAGAGAATTCAGAAATTCATCTGGGCCTTATGGTCAATTGATATTTGACAAAGTTGCCAAGAACACACATTGGGGAAAGGAGAGTCTCTTTAATAAATGGTGTCTGGACAACTGGATATCTGTAGGCAGAAGAATGAAATTCGACCCTTATCTCACACTCTACACAAAAATCAACTCACACCATACACAAAAGTTAGGACCTAAAAAGTAGGTCCTGAAACTATAATAATACTAGAAGAAAACATTGAGAAATGCTTTACAACCTTGGTCTGAACAATGATTTTTTTGGATTTGACCCCCAAAGCAAAGGCAAAAAAGCAAAAACATAAAACACGGGATTACCTCAAATGAAAAAGTTTTTATACAGCAAAAGAAACAATCAATACCTGGGTGCTGTAGTGTACACCTGTATTCCCAGTGGCTCAGGTGGCTGAGGAAGGAGGATAGTGAGTTCAAAGCCAGCCTCAGCAAAAGTGAGGTGCTAAGCAACTGAGACCCTGTCTCTAAATAAAATATAAAATAGAACTGGGGATATGGCTCAGTTGTCAAGTGCTCCTGAGTTCAATCTCTGGTACCCACCCCCCAAGAAAAGAAACAATCACCAAAACCAGGCACAATGGTGCACACCTAAATCCCAGTGACTCAGGAGGCCTGGGACCCTGTATCCAAAAAATAAAAAAATAAAAAGGGCTAGGATGTGGCTCAGTGGTTAAGTACTCCTGGGTTCAATCTCCTTACAAAAAGAAAAAAAAAGTTGACAAGTGGTTTGAATATATATTTCTCAAAAGAAGATGAGCAAATGGCCAACAGGTATATGAAAAAATTCTCAACATCATGAGTTCATCAGGGAAATGCAATCAAAACTGCTATGAGATGTCACCTCAAGTCTGTTAGAATGGTTGCTATTATAGAAGAGACAAAAGATTAGTGTCAGCAACAATGTACAGAAAAGGAAACTCTCATACTGTTGGTGAGGATGTAAAGTGGTCTAACTACTTAAAAACAATATGGGGGTTCCTCAAAAAAATTAAAAGTAGAACTATCATATGCTTCAACAATCCCACTCCTGGGTATACATCTAAAGGAAATGAAATCAACTAATTGAAGAAACATCTGCATGCCCATGTTTATTACAGCATCATTTACACTGGCAGATATGTGATCAATCTAAGTGTCTATCAATGGATGAATAGATAAAGAAAATATATATACACATGGAATCTGCTGATTATAGAGATTCTTTCTAATGAAGTTTATTAATGTGAAATTGGCTTAAGAATTAGATACACTGCCTTTTAAATTTATAAAGGGTATCTGATTAATAAAAAATATATAGTGCAGAAGAGACTAAATTTTGAATTACATTAAAAGCCAAATTACATACTATTATATAATTTTTAATACTGAATTGTGGAAAATGATTAATCAAAGGCTAATTTTCATGAGGAAAATTGGAGAAGAAAAAGTTATTTCATGACAAATCATTGGAAAAAAGGTATTTTTCTTCTTTTTCTTCTATATTTTCTGAAATTATCTGGCTCTTTTCCAAACATGTAAATTCACTTTAATTTTACATAATTTGTCTTAAAATAAGGTTACATTTATTTGATTCCTGATGTTTTGTAGTGAACTCTTAAGAGGAAATAATAAAATACTGAAGCAACATAGAATACTGAAAAGAGTTCTGGGCCGGAAGAAAAGAGATGTGATTTCTAGTCCTGGTTTACCATGGGTGTACTTAGGTGTCATTCAACTTCCCTGAAGCTAAGTTTTCTGGTGGGTAAAACAGATGTCAGCATCTGCTCTTCTCAAACAATTGCTTTATGCAATATTCCTTATCCACTCAGCACTTGCTCAAGCTCACTGGTCTCTTCTTATGGAGATATGAATACAAATACAGAAACCCAATGCAAACAGAAATTTGGGATGAAGTTCTGGAATACTTCTGGAAGAAGAAATCAAAGAACAAACAGGAGTTACTGAAGAGAATGCAAGAAAAAATGGAGAGCATTCCAGGCAGAGAACACTGCGCTTTACAAAGTCACTGAGCCTGTGAGAAGGAAGGTGTGAGGGCATGAAGTCATTCACTGGCTGAAACAGGGCAACATTAAAGGTGAGGCTGGAAAGGTAGGCAGAATCCAGATACTCGATAGTACCCATAGATACTATGCTATGCATTTGCATTTTAACTTCAGAGCAGTGAGTAGTGGTGAGGGACTATGAAGGATTATGGAAAGTGGAATTATGACTTCAAAAACTCATTCTGAAGGCAACATACATGATGGATCAGAGGCTGGAAAATTACTCAGAGTCCATGGTATTAGCTCAGGTGAGAAAATGGGAAGGCCTGACTACATAAGACAGAGACAGCAAGGATGGAGAAGAAAAAAAAAATCCTGAGAGGTGGAATAGAGGCAAACCAGGCAACGTTTAGTGTTTGGTTTAAGAGAAGGCAATATCAGAGTGAATCAAAGGTTTCTGACTTTCCTGGATAGATGATGCACTTCTTATCTAAAAGAGCTAGACAAGTTCAATTTTAAATATGTTGAGCTCATTGGGCCTATAGGATATCCAAGTAGTAGTGCACAGAAGACAACTAGATAGATGAAATGCATTTGACAGTGCTATGAACTATTTAAAAAGGTATAATGTTATTTGAATTCAATTCTAGATGAACCCTTGCAAGGCCATGGGGGAAATTACTATGGTATAAATGATCTATTCAACATACTCTAAGGACTTCCAAGAGTAAAGACATATCTCATTTCTTTTCTGAATTCGCTTACTTAACAGAAATTATTTAATTCCTACAATATAATTCCTATTGTGAGCTATTTCTAATGGTTTGTAGCTTCTTGTCCATGTCCATGTGGTTGGCATCTGGACTAGATTAAAAAGAGCTACCATGCATTTAGGCACAGAGGATAGAATTCTGCAGCCCTTCTTCCATTCCAGCCTCACTGCCTATCACATTTTCCTATATGCATTTTTACTTTCAGCTGCCATGGGGTCATCAAGTCTTAGCTTAAATCAAATGTCCTCTGGCTCCAAGTCCCATGATGAAAAAAAATTTATGGAGTCCTGGACACATTACAAGTTTTACAGCTTTACAGCTGAAATCCTTCAGGTCCTCCTGACCTACTGAAGCAAAAAATATGTTTTATTTTATTGTGATTCCCAAACGTTCTCCCAGTGTGTGCATTTTTCCAACAGAATGTGTATGTTGCTTCCAGCAATGTGTTTTATATTACCTTGAAGAGTAGGGAAGCTCTGATAGAAGGAAACAAGTTAGTCTTATTGCCAGGAAAAGAGAAAACAGAACTTGCCATTGCAAGCATGATTAGTGGACCAAACCTATGTCTGGGATAATCTGTTTGTATTTTACTTTTACTGAGGATACTCTATGAGGCAATGACTCTATCCTAATTGTTTAGAAAGTTTATATCCCCCAACCAATGATACCCTGGATTCTTAGGTGGGGTCATTTTAATCAATAACATATATTTATATATATTGTTGATATATATATCAATATATATAACAATACATATAAATATATGTTTATGAATACATACATACACACACATATATATAGTGACATATACACACATATATGCATGAGTGTATGTGTATGTATATTGTGTATGTATATATGTATGTGCATGTATATACGAATAAAGATATTCCCAAAAATAATATATTCTTATTAAGTCTAGATGTAGCCTGCTCAATAACTTTGAATTAAATATTTCCTAGATAACAAATAGCCTTTTCAAATATATATCAAAACTTAATGTGTAATCTCTCTTTGGGAGATAGTAAGTACCATCAGTTTGGATGTAGCTTGAAAATAGGATACCTAAGTGGGCTCACCTTGACGATGAAATCTGCTGTCAGTGGTCCAGCCATTCTCAGAATCTCTTTGTCTGGAAATTTCTGGAAGTCCACAGTAGAATTGTCCACGAGAAATGTTCCTGTAGAGCTGAGGCTTTTTTCACCTTTAGCCCCTTGGAGGGTTTTGGTTTCCAAATCTATATAATCAGACACATGAAGAGGAAAGAGAAATGTTCCCGGGGCTACGATAGACCACATGTAAGCACAGTTTATGTAACAAAGTTTTGAGCTATGGATATAGTGATTTTTTTATTTATATAGTGATATAAATGAAATATATAGGCATTTCTGGATCACATAGGAATTTATGCTACAAATAAAATTATTTTAAAATTCATTAGCCAAGCATTCAAGGCTCCAGTCACAAAAAAAGTTTGATTTGCTCAGATGACCTCCTGTGGAAACACCAATCTACAGCAACCCTTTTTCTTTGATTAAACCATCTCCCATACACAACTCAGTGATTTCTGTTTGGATGGCCCTCAGTTTGGGCTATCCTTCACTCTTCTTTTTGTCCTATGAGATCCCAGGTGCATCTCAGAGTTGCCTCAGCATCCATGAGGGTTTATATTTAGGCTTTAACTTGAGTTTTTTTAAAAAAAAATTCTGGTTGCTAATTCATATATGCTATTGCTCAGGATGAAGAAACTATAGTGACCGAGTACAGTAGTGCATACCTGCAATCCCAGCAGCTCTGGAGGCTGAGGCTGGAGGATCATAAGTTCAAAGCCAGCTTCAGCAACTTAGTGAGGCCCTAAGCAACTTAGCAAGACCCTGTGTCAAAAATTTTAAAAAAATCAATAAATAAAAAGGGCTGGGGATGTGTTTCAGTAGTTAAGCAGGTTCAATCCGTGGTACCAAAAACCAAAACTGTAGTGGCTTAAAGACAGGGGCTATTCTTTTTTACCTTTTCTCTTTTAAAAATTAATTTTGATAACTAATTCAATGTTATACACATATATAGTATTTTATAAGTACTTGATACAAAAAGAAAACTTGATTCCTGCAGCATTTAAATCTGAATTTTGTCAATGACAGAGTCTATGAAACATCATTTGTTGTATGAAATCAGAACAAACTGGGATGATATTGCTTATGATATGTATGCCAGAGAAGACTATGTTCTCCTCTGACTGACAGGGGATCTATAGAAATTGTCTAGGAGATGAAGAAAAATAGATGGATTAAGTCTAATTGTTTCTAAAATTGCACAAAACCTTTGGTCTTGGCAGTGCCTGTTCAGCAGAAAGACAGAAGGCTTGTGTGGCGCTCCAGGCTTCCTACCACAGCTTCAGTCAGAATGGCTCTATTCTTATCTGTTTAATGATTGGGGTTCTGTGTTAAAAACAATTTTAAGGTCTCTGGAGGTACTCAAGTACCTAAAGTATTTTGTACTTTATTATTTGAGACTCAGACTACCTCAAGTTCTCTACTCTAAGGAATACCAAAGATGGAAAATGTTGGTATTCAACTAAATACACAGTGACCTTCTGATGAAGTCTGTGGAGCCCTTCTCATAGGATATGTCAGGCTTTACCATTCTGCCCCAGGATGGAGAGAACGCCACAGGACATAGGGCCCCACAGGAGAACCTCAAGGGGACACTGGATTTGGGAATCATATTTATCATCAAAAGAGGAAAGCCGCAGTGCTGAATCTCCTTCCTCCAGCCTTTATTCCTCAAGCTGCCTTACGTGCAATTGCAGAAATAGCTCCAGAACATGAATTAACATAGTTTTGGAAAAATCCTGGAGGTCTAGGCCTGGATCTGAACATCTGATTCAATTTTATGAAGAGGTGTCCCAGCTGTTCTTCTCGATGTACTTTTGATTAAAGATGAGCTGGGGCTGGACAAGATCACCTAGTCTTCTGATCTGGCACTAAATATTTAAGGTTAGTCCCATACTGAACCAGTTTCTGGGAATGAAGGGCAAAAGGGCTGCAGGAGAAACAGGGAATCACTTCCACATTCATTCTGCTGAAATACATGCCAAATGCAAAACAACAACAGCAACAGAACAAAACAAAACAAAACAGCTACATTTGCCAACAGTATGTGTGTTGGGTGGAAAAAAAAACAGACCATATATTGCTTTTCATCATTTATGAATATCATTTCAGTCTTTACCTATCACATCTGCAAATCAATTAAACCAAATAAGGACAATTCTTCAATTTCTTGGTGATTATGTAATCAGGAAACTTGGGAGACTAATATATTTATAAAAATCAATTTTTCTTTTAAATCTTTTTCTGCAATGAGGAGTCATTCCCCCACTTAATAGTAATCTCAGACTGAATATTTTATTTCTGTCTCTGTTACTGCTGACAAAAATACTGTTTCTGAGTGGGGTTGTTACACCATCAGTTAGCTCTGTCCAGTTCTCAAGGGGAAAAACAAATCATTTGACTGGTAATACTATACATGCATATATTAACTTTGGCATGTGAATGCTATCTTTTATAAGACTGTTCAGAATTAGAAAATAATTTGGACCAATATAAGGTGACTTATCGGTGCTTCTTCATTTTGCCTAAACTGTACTTCACTTATTCTTTTGTTTCACAGGACCCTTCATATCCTACCTTTTTGATGAAAAATATTCATTTTTATTTTTGAAGACTAGAGTATGCTATATTAACTTTCACAGGTTCTGATTCTCTTCCTCTTGTTGGTCTTTCTAGCACGGTTTCATTCATTATAATCTAATTACTAAAAAATAATACTTGCTATTTAAATTGGTTTCATAGACATGTTGGAGAGGAGAAGGAGAGAAGATAAGGGATGTCTTTGTGGGAATCCAGGAACAATTAGATTAGAGATTAGAGGGCTCAAGGGACCAAATGAGGTGAAAGCCTTCAAATGAAACCAAATTTCTTAGAAAATGTTAGCATAATCTCTCCCACCTTCACCTTTGTTTATAGCCTATAAGTTTCTGCTTGTAACTTACAGATGTACATCTAAAACGAACTAAGCAGTAATAAAAAAAGTAATCTGACTGTGCATTGCTGCCCTGGCATGACTAGAGATCAATTTTTGCACAAACCTTAGAGGGCTAAAGCTATCATTTGATCCTTGGGTTTCTAATTACCTTCTAATCCTGAATTCTAATATATAAGGGCCCTGGTTTAATATTTGGAGATTTCAGTTTGTTTAGTAGTTTTGTGTTTATCTGGATTGATTAAGTAACGGAATATGAGATTAGGGGGAAAAATGAAGGAAAGAAAGGAAGGGTTGGAAAGAGGAAGAAGAAAGGAGTGGTGAGATTAAAAAAAAAGATTGAGATGGATTAAAGAGAAAGAAGAGCATAAGCATGTGCCCAACCCCCATGAACATCTCATCAGGACCATCTATTTGCATTTTTCAGGATGACTGTGGCTATCAGTAATTACCACAGAGGTTTCTGCCATCTCATCAGGCAGCCAAAAGAGAGACAAAATATCATATTCTGATAGAGTGGAGAGATTTGTACTCTTGTGTTTTAATACTTTCTGGAACAAAAATAAATAATAATGGCAAAACCTCCCAATCCCCAAAGGAAAACATTGGGTTTACTTACACAAGTGATCAGGTCCTTTTAGGACAAGGCGAATGTGTCTACTTCCGTAGGGAATGGCAACCACGGTATCATCCACTAGAGAGAAACAAAGCAAAATTTTAAAAGCACATAATTTGACACAAAACTATTAATTGTCTCTTGTACAAAGGCAGTGACTTAACATAACTTTTAAAAAACTGAGAGTTTGTTTTTGTGTTTGAAAAGGGAAATACAATGTTTGGGTATTAAAATGTCTACCTTCTTCAAAATAAAATATGCCAAAGAAGCCAGTCACTGGTTAACATAGTGAGGATTTGGCCTTATAAAGAAAATGTGAGTTTTGGTATGTTGACATATTGATTGAACATTTTCCTTTTTGATCTTGAAATCTGGCCTTGAACCATCAAGTTTCCCTGGATTACAGCATTTGTGTTGGATTTTAAAATATAAAGGAATTCTAATGTTTGAAGGATGAATTTATGAATGTATCACATTAGAATCTGGACTTCTCACTGGCAGTGTTCTGGGATGAGTAGGAAAGATAAAAGGAGGTGATAATATGATTATGTGCTTTAAACCCTTCAAGGACAGAAGTCATGCCTCTGGTTGTTCTACCTAGTTCTTCACATACTGCATATTGTAAGAACTCCATATATGGTGGTTAGCATTTTTCGATATATAACCCCCTCTCTTTTGAAATATATTTTTTACAGTTGGCTGAATCATAGATCATTTTATAGTAGATTAATTATCAGACTCTTTACCAATTGAGCCTAAATTATTAGAAACAGAGTTCTTTTTAAAGATTAGAGGAACATTATAAGCTCCCCAATTATACCCCAATAATATATATTTATATATATGGCAATAATATATATTTACATAGCACTGCAGAATTGCACTTTCACTTAAATTATGCTATTTACTTTCACCCACAACGTTGATGTAGCCAGAGATAATTCTAGGATGAAAAATGCAGCCTCTGAGAAGCATAATGAAGTCCAAGGTCAAATGGATTGAAAGGTACTTCAAAGGACAAGAAAGACCCATTCTCAGGAACTCACCAGCACTTCAGAAGCTCCGTTGATTCTTGGTTCCTACAAATCTTTCCAATATTAGACATTATCACCCTCTCATGGGAACAATTTAGTTTAAATAAAAGAATCCCCAAAGTTACTCAGTTCCTCTAAACCTTAACATAATCATCTTAGTTTGGGGAGAACTTAAATAGTGAATCTTAGAATTCATCTAACTTTCCTGGTTCTTGGTTTCCTTGTTTATAAAACAAAGAATGCAACAACTACTTTATAATATTGTCATGAAAAGATATAAGGATGGATAGAGCTACATAGATGAAATGTCTGGAATACACTAGGTACACTAGATATTCTGTACATTTTAGTTTCCTCCCTCTCTTGCAAATCTCTTTCAAAATAGGGACTGAAAGACTTTTAGAGTGTTTTTAAATACTCCAAGGCCCCTAGCACATGACCCATCGACTGAAGAAGGAGAATCAGATCTTAATTCCTGCCCTGAAGAGGTTACACTTATGAGTTCTCTGCAATATTGAATATTCTACTCACACTACACCCTTATAGCTGTTTTTAATGTCATGCATTGTTGAAGAAAAGGCTGAATTCCACAGAGCTAAGATTTTGTGGTATATAAAAAAAAATGTAAGGGGGAATATAGACAAGGAACTCAAAAATGTTCAGGCTGGCCCACAGAGCCTTCTATGCCTTGCATAAAGACATGAATTTTTAAGTTTGCAAAAGAAATTCAAAGCAGTGAAAACAATGGGATTTCTAGAAATAGAATGTCTTTGTTTATCCACAGGTCAAATAAAGTGCAAGTAAAAGGGAAGCTGTCTGTTTGGCCTGCAATGCTCAGCGGCAGGCTTCTGACCCCCACACAACTCCGGAGGCCTCACTCTTGCTTTGCTGAGAAGGAACACATTCACACACTGAGGCATTAACCCTGGGCTTTTGGCTGTTGTTGTAACATTTGTATGATCCAGGAAGATGACGGGGTTAGGAACCTAGAAGTTTCTGTAGGGGGTGGGGAAGAGGGCAGGATGAAGAAAATAGACCAGAAAAAAAGCAGAATATCTTCTGCTGCCCTCTACACTTGTCTAGTCAAAGAGAAAAATGGAGTAACTCAGGCTGGTGCAAACTTGAGCCAGTGGCAGTATACAGCACTGAGGCAGGAAGACTCTCGGTCTATTCTTCTACTGAGAAAAGGTCTGATGGGCTCCTGGAAGGTCACTAGAAAATTAATAAATTCATTACTTTATTCTACAGATAGTTTTAAGTTGTCTCTTAGTGTCATGCTCCAACTTAGGAACCAGGGACTCAAAGAAGACAAATAATAATAATCATCATCGTTATCATCCACAACAAAAACAACAACAACAACAACCACAACAAAAACCAAACCAAACCAAACCAAAACAAAAAACCATCAGCCCCACATAGTAGTCCCTGAAAAAGGAATCTAAGGAAAAACATGTGGGGAAATCCTGTGTACTGATCATGGAAATCCCAAAAGCTCATTATTTGGTTTCTTAAGGAGTCCTGAACCTATTTCACTCTATTTAACCCAGGGTATACCCAATACATTAATCTAGAGAATCTTTCTTATATATCAGCTGTTAATATCACCTGATATATCTTTGAACATAGTTTAAGAAATGGTGCTCTTAATTTAAGAAAAGCAAAATAGGGAAGAAAGTTAGATTTTTCATTTTCTGTACGCTGACAAAAAAAAACTGCTCTTTTGAGTTGTACTTATACTAAAATTGTCATATTTGCTGATAAATTCTTGGTAATTTGGGACAGTTTGGGGGATTCCTCTACTTGGCTTCTACTACAGTGTTGTACACCAAAAAGTGTTTAAGAGATCTGAGACTATTTGGGGAGCCTGAGGCAGAAAGATAGAAAGTTTGAGGCCAGTTTGAAGAACTTAGTGAGACCCTATCTCAAAATAAAAAAAATAAAAAGGGCTGGGGATGTAGCTCAGTGATAGAGCACCACTAGGTTCAATTCCTAGTACCAGAGACAGAGAGAGAGAGAGAGAGAGAGAGAGAGAGACAGAGAGATCCCAGAATCCAAGTGCAATCTGGTGTCTTGTAACACCTGCCTCCTGTGTGATTAATGTAGCAGTGTGGCTGGTGAGGCAGGTATCCACATCTCTATTACAGTGCCCTTCATTCCTCTGATTACCCTTTCCTACAAAGGCACGCTGTTTTATGACCAGGTACACCTGCCAAATATCTCCTGGCTTTTCTGGAAGAACCATGGTGCCAGGCTATTAGATGTATTTTTAAAAATATGTCAATAATATTCAAAGACCAGCTTCACAGATTAGATAACCTCTTTCTCAGTTAAATGGACAAGCTTTCTATGGGAATCATAAATTCTGTCATTTCATATATATGAATTGTAAATGTCCTTTCTCAAGGAAATGACTACCAAGAATTTTACCTAAGGTTTCCTCTAAAAAAACTATATTGACATGTATATTCTATACTTTTTTACATAGAACATTTTATATATTAGTTTTTAAATTTTTCAATATGTGAATGTTCTGTGAGATTTATTGGTGTATCAGAGAAAGGTGATAATGCTAAAATTTTGAAAAAACAGGCTTTCCTATTCTAATATCTGAGTTTATCTTATTTTTAGTTGTTAATAAATTCGTGTTTTTTTAAAGAATCTTCTCTCTCAACATTGGCGCTAATCCTTAATTCCATTTTTTTTAAATGAAAGATCCATTGTTGCTAATACAATTGGCTACATAAAAATTTTTCTGCTGTAACTGATGAGGTTTTAATGATATATTTTAAACCTACATGCCAATTTTACTATCCCTAAAATATATCAAGTAGTCAGGTGTGGTGGCACACACCTCTGACCAGCTAGTTGGCTGTCCAGCCAGCCTGGGCAATCTAGTGAAACCCTGTCTCAGAATAAAAATAAAAAGGGGTGGCTGTGTGTCTCAGTGGCAGAGTACCCCTGGGATTCAATCCCTGGTACTACAAATATATATACGTGTGTGTGTGTGTGTGTGTGTGTGTGTATTTATTTATCAGTAATTGCATAATGGAGGACGCATGGGAGAATGTATGCTGCACAGACCAAACAAGATGTTCTCTGCTTCCCCAACTGGAAAATTTCATCCTTTCAGATTCCTAGGCCAAAATCTTTTGTTCATTTTTATATTTAATAAGTTAGAAAATCCTATTGTCAAAATACCCCATTTCATTGATTCTGAGACGAACAACATTTCCTATTTTAACAAATATAAAATGAGAGTATCTCTCACACTATAGTGCCTTAAATTTCCTCTCACCCAGAGAGGAATTGGTCACAGCTATCTGCCTACAGAGGTGCTAACATCAGAACAGCTAGTATCAAACTTGTGAAATGGAGCAGCTTTGAAGAAAATTCGAAAACAACAGAACACACTCATTTAGCTCTCAGGAATCAAATGATTGTGGTGGTTGCAGGGAGGTGAAGCATCAGAAGAGCTTAACATTTTCAAAGAGGGAGTCAAAAGGTGTTTAGAGCAACATAATTTCAAAGGCAAGTTAAGAGCAAAGCACCAGGACTTCTGCCTCTGTGAAGTAACAAAGACCAGATTCACCATTCTGCCCGAAACAACCAAAAAATCATGACAAAATTATATGAAACCAAGGTTTTTAAGACAATGGACGTCAGGCAAAAAGGGCAGAAATTCCTGAGATTCAGGGAATAAATGAGGTAAGTCCTAATATTGCCCTAGATTATTGCCTTGCAAGAACTTCCTGGCTGTGGCTTTGGAAATGGAAGTTCTATAGTAGAGGTTGGTAGATTCCATGACTTGAGACAAAACTAAAAGTCCAAGGAATCCAAGCGTTAGAATTTATAGAACGAAGTACCAGACAGGAGAGAGTATACAAGAGAGAACTAAGAGCTAAGATGGTCCCCTTGATGTATCCAGCAGTACACTGATCAATCCATAGACGTGAGGCAATTGCTTTAGGCTGGTGAACGAACTATAAGGAAGACAACATGGTGCTCACACAGGCCTGAGACTAGCACCTCATCCCACCAGCC